CTCTCATGATTGTAAACTGACCACCCTCAGTGTCTACACCTCATTACTAACCACCTCTCATGATTGTAAACTGACCACCCTCAGTGTCTACACCTTAATCATTTGGAAGTGACAATGGAATTATCCAATTTAAAAAAACATGGTCATGGAACTATACTATGGTCACTAAAAACACCAAAAACAGCTTTGATGAAAACCTAAACCAATTTATTATTCTTTGATGTTTTCTTAATTGTATCAGGTAACTAAGTTAGGATATTGTTCTTTTTGATTCACAGGTATTCTGGAGCTGGACTATGTCTCAAGTTGCAGTTTAATTTATTATAAATTATATTTAATCTACGAAAGACACGACACCTCCCTCATAAAAACTGACATATTTTTTTGCAATGATTAGGATATCTAACATTTAGAAAAAGCCAGGCAACTCTTTTTATCAAAATTAAATGGTCTTAGACATAACTAAGACAAGAAAAATAGAAAAAGTAGTTATAATGCTACTATGTATTTAACATGTAAACTTTTTTATAACTGACAAAATTAATTTAAGATAGAATTTTAAATATCTTGAGGATAACGACTGAGAGCACAATAGGGTATATGGTTATATTGACAGAAGCATGGACCACATAGATTTGATGGCAAGATATCAATGGAAGGTTGATATCATGATGATGGAAATATGTGCTCTCATGAACGTAAAAATATTATGAATAATATGATTGTAAATGCATTGACGTCACCAGAAACTTTCTGTTTCACTCTTCATGAACCACTCATGCGGGGAAAATATAAATATCTTGAGTGGTCATAACATATTGAAATAGATAAATAACATGGTGACTAAATATGCATATATTCTAATCAAGAGGGAATAACAAACTGCAGAGTATGCCAACATGGAGGATAGAATTTTGACTGCTGTTCTTCACTCTTTCAAGAAGGAACAGCATTGTTTTAACCATGTCTGGCTTTGATGGATATTTGTAAATAGATTCCCATCTTGAGACTACAATGTTGTATTGTAAATAGCCTAATTAAAAATAAATTGTGTCAAAAAATACTTGTCTCATCATTTTATATTTAGGAGTAGATTGATTGGTAACCAGACCTCAAGAGGATCTAACAAAGGCATGTTCTCATTCCTTTTTTCCTCCCTCCATTTTTTCCTTACTTGTTTCTGTCTTTCCTTATACCTTTATTCCTCCATTCTTTCTTCCTTCCTTCCTTCCTTCCTTCCTTCCTTCCTTCCTGCACTATCATCCAAAGGCTACAGCATCCTCATTAGGAGCTCTCACCTTATTTAAGCGCTCTTACATCTTCTTTACTTTTTTATAAGCTTGATAATATGAATGTCCTCACTGTGAAATCTAGAGTCCTGCTCTTCCTGTGGGATTTCCTCCACTATAAATTTTTCCTTTACAGCCTGAAAATAGAAGAAATTGACCTGTTAAAATAAAGGAATTTAGTCACCCAAACAGCATTATGAGCTACAACTGTGAAACGATTCTCACTTTAGGTGTAGTTATGTTATCACCATTTCAGACCAAGTGTCATTCCATAGAGAATCATTTCTTTGTTTAATAGCTATACATCAGAAGACACATGAATATAGACACAACTCAAAGAATTTTATTTTCCAGTGAACAACACATGACCTGAAACTGGACAACATTATGCCAGAGCTAAAAATGTCTCCAGTTAAAACGATTAATAGGATTAATTATGCAGGATACATGCCTTGAAAAAATTATTTTCCAATGCTAGTTTGTTACCAGTTCTTCTTTCTTCATAACTGAGATAAATAAGAGTGCTTGGTCCACTAAGATCACACATGGTCTTTATTAAAGGCTCCAGTGACTGAAGACAAATAAATGGAAAGCCATGAATAAGTATATGGTATTTTCTTTCACCTACTGTAAGCCTCATTCCACTACATTTATCTATATGTAACTAAGTGCCTTATCAGCCATTTGGAAAAAAATAGGGACCCCTGTATGACTAAATATTACTCCAAAACCATCTCTTTTTTTGTCATTTCCTTTCTGGGCTTTCTGTGGTATAGGATGAATAAGGGGGCCAATGATGGAACAGAAAAACAGACAAGAGGTATGCCTGTGAAGGTGGTTATTATCACGAGACTTGGAAGATGAACTTGACATACTTTGGGCATGAATTGTTAAGTTCCTTTCTATAGCTACCCATGTACTCAGCTCCTTCTATAGCTACTCATGTACTCAACTTGGCCATTATCCTAATATTTATGGCCACACACTAGTAACCCAAATCAACTTTTACCTCTTCATAATAAATGCAGTCAGCAATAAATATGTAGTCAAAAGGGGGTAACAGCTGTGATACATCTTCACCCCTGTCAAGGAAAAATGATGATGATGATTAAGATACCAAAACCACTGCACAAATATTAATTCTGGGTTTCCTGTGGATCATCATTATTCCAATAGAGAGCCAATGCAGGATTCCAAGCAGAGAGGAAGGTGCGAAAGTCAGAGAAAGTATGTCGAGAGCAGTGGGGATCCCCTATCTTTTTGGCCGGGTTCTGCCCCTTTGAGAAATGCAGCTACTTGACCATATAATACACAAACTTACCATTTCAGAACAGCAGCAGATAAGGAACCAGTCACTAAGTGTTTGTTTGTGATTATATTCAGTTCTATGAGTGGTATTATATCTTGAAGATCGGTACACACAACATCTGCACTAAAAAAGACCAACAGTTGATAATTAATCAGATTGAGTTCAAATAGTACACCCTAGGGGGAGGGGAAGAGTGGAGTTTTAATCTATGAATTTGGAAATAATGAGCCAAGAAAGCCAAAAATCTTCAATAACAGTCATACCCTAACACAGAAGCCACCAAACCAACAAGTCCAGTCCCAGCACCAAGTTCGATAGCACGCTTCCCTTTCATCTGACGCTTGTTCAAAAATCCCTCAGTTTCCAGATATTTTTCCAATACTATAGCGGCATCCCATACTACACACCCAACGTCGCCTTCCTCTGCCTGCTTGATGACGAGGGTGCCGTAGATCCCTTCAATTTCACGTTCAAAAGTTTTGTCTAATTTTAAAGACGAATGATGCTCTTCGTCCGCCATTTTGATTTGTATAGTGGTTGGGCATTTCCGCTGACCTGTTTTTGAGCCTTTTTGCGCACATTCGTTTTAAAATAAAAATGTAGGAGGAAAAATGTAATTTAATATAGAATTAAAGAGAATAAATTATTATTCAAAATAAATATGTAAATTCCAACTATTCAACCAAAAAATCAAATAAAGAAAAAAATCAAGACTATAGGCGGAAGTCATTTTACCGGAAGTCTAAGGAATCAGTGATCCATACAGGACATGCGCACACGTGGCAGATTCGAACGAATAAACAAGATGGTGGATGTTGTATCGTAAAACAACCGGTGTTCTTTGGAAAAACTGTAAAATATAGTCACAACACGATGATTGCATTCATCAGAAAAAACTGGTTTCTTGTAGGAATCGTCACAGTAATATGTCTTGCAAGATTTGCGCCTCACATTGGAGCAAAAGGAGGGATTTTAAAGCCCGAATACACCGTCAAATATGGCGCCGTTTCAATCATCTTCTTCAACAGTGGTCTTTCTCTACGAACTGAAGATCTAAAGAATGCAATCACTCAAGTCAAGCTCCATGTATTTGTGCAGACATTCACCTTAGTATTTATTCCGCTACTTATTTCTCAACTGATTAAATTGCTCGCGTTATTGTCGTTGAATGAATGGTTACTGAAGGGATTGTTAGTGGTCAGCTGTATGCCCCCTCCTGTCTCTTCAGCTGTCATCCTCACTAAGGCAGTAGGTGGTAACGATGCAGCAGCTATCTTTAATTCGGCATTTGGAAGCTTCCTTGGGATCTTCGTCACGCCATTTTTACTATTGGTTCTTGTAGGCTCGTCATCGTCAGTGCCCTACAGCTCTATTTTTACCACCTTATCGATGACCGTGGTCGTGCCAATCTTAGTTGGTCAAGTATTCAGATACAACGATAAAGTCAGGAACTGGATGGAAGAAACTAAGCCACCGTTTGGTACCATTGGAAGCTGTGTTCTCCTCCTGATTATCTACACGACATTCTGTGATACATTTTCAAGTGATGTTGGAGACATTGATTCCACTAATTTACTTGCTGTTGTGATAATCATATTTTTAATTCAGTGCTTCTTGCTTTTTCTTACTTTTTACCTTACTTCAATGCCTGAGTCTCCATTCAAGCCAGCAGATACTGTGGCAATAATGTTCTGCTCCACACACAAATCTCTCACACTCGGTATTCCAATGTTGAAGATAGTTTTCCAGGGCTACAAGTATCTTTCTCTCATTTCTATTCCACTTCTCATTTATCATCCTACTCAGATTCTCCTTGGTGGGGTATTGGTACCTGTAGTTAGGAACTGGATGTTGGAAAAACAGGCTGCCCATAAAGATAAATCAACTATCAATGGTGTTTAAAGGGTTGGACAGTTGCTAATAATATTTGTAGTAGTGCGCCGGCTAGTTTTTCCGTAATATATACTCTAGCACTTCCAATAGAGTGCTCACACTAAATCCGTGAAATAAATATTAATTTTTAGCACTAAATAGTGATAATTAAACAATAGAAAACAAAGGATTCTGTATGAAATAGTACTAATTTGTACTATTTAATGTTCACGGTTTTAGTGCATGCACTCTATCTGCAAGTGTAATTAATCTTATATTGATGTTTTTTAGTTGGCAGCTAACAGTCATATTTGTCAGAATTTCATTCATTCATAATTAATTTCATATAATTGTCATAATAAAAAAGTAATTTTAAAAACGAGTTTTTGTATTGTTTGCCGGGAAAACCTGAATTTTCAGACTAGATGTTTGATAGCACCTGATCATTTCTTTAAAGAAATAAATACAATTTTGGATTGTTAACCAAATGTTATACAGATACAAAACTCAAAGTCTTAAAGGACTAAGCAGTACGAAATGAAAAAGAAAAAGGATTTGTAAGGGGGCGGTAACTACAAAAATAGTTATTGTTTGGGTTACCTGTGGTTAGATTTCAGACATTGAGGGATGCGCGCCGAAGATGCGCATTCGTCTGGTAGCAAACATGGCTGCCAGAAGGACAAAGGAAGTAGAAAGGTCTAAGATATTCGGCGAATAATTCTTTATTTAACAATATACGACGAATAATTCAGGACTAAAAGGTCTCTGGATAACCAACAAATCGACTAACGATGGCTGTTCCACCGAGATGGCTCAAGTGCCCCAGAAAAAGCCTCGTTATTGCAGGTGGGTTTGAACGACGAAAAACTTCCAACCAGCTATGTTGTTTTATGTTGTTTTTAAATTTACAAAGGATGATTCTGTTATGTTCTCAAAGTTTTCTGTTTTCAAGTCCTGGTTTATTAAGTCGCACGTCTAAGAATTTCCCATGATTTTTCTTGATTGTGAAACCAGTTCGTCGGCAGACTTCGCAAGCATCTTTTTTTGTAGTCGAAATATCATATTTACTTTGACATCGTCAACTTGTTTCAGATCGTTTTATCGCTTTTAAAACCCCTCTTGGTCCAAGATACGATGAGCAAGTACCTGAAGCTTACAGATTTCAAGTCCCAATGTTGATTTCTTATCTTCAGGCACTAAAGGTACGAAAAATGCTGATTTATCTTGAGTTTGTTGAGGACATTATGTTCAAACTTCTTTTCTTGTTGTGTTTGAGACGTTCGAGAAGCCTGGGGCGACCATGACAAATAACTTTTATTTAAATCGATCCCAAAGATTTCTTCTTCCTTTCGTCGTTTTTATAACAAATCTCAATCCAATGATTGGATATTTACAGTACCTACAAAAGTTTCATGTTTCCTTACTCTTTTTATTCCCTAGAAATTATGTTTGTTGAGTGGGGAGGGGGTTGAGGGGAAGCAAGACGTGTTAAAATTTCACATTTTTTTCTCCTTGTTTTCCTTGATTTTCCTTTGAGTGTCTGTTTTGTTCTTTTCAAAACATGTTAATCCAACTTTTAAATTGTTCAAAAACTTTACCAATTTATTTTTCTTTTTCATTTACTTTGTTTCTCTTCCTTTTGGGGATATGTTTTCTCGTTTTTAATCCATAGTTTTGTTTCTTTACTTTTAGGTTAAAGTGGGTTTGATAATTGATCTTACAAACACCAGTCGATTTTATGACAAGACAGAACTGGAACATTATGGAATAAACCATACTAAGCTTCAATGTAGAGGGTATACTTTATCATCATTTTATAATAAATATGAAATTACTAAAGAAATAGAAAACACACGCTCGTGCTGTATGCAGTTATGAAGCATGCAGGAGTTGGCAGAACACGAGAGAAGCATGACATGTAGCAGAGTGCTTCTCAACACTTCTCAAGTGTTGTGCAAATATAACTGCACACAGCAAGGAAGTTTTTTATTTCTTTTATAAAATACAAATTACAATAACCATTATTATGGATAGGAATGACGCAACTGAAAGTGTGCACACATGCTGTGTGCTCTCATAAAGCACACGCTCCCAGCCAATCAGAACGCAAGATTCAAAACAGTTATTTTATAATCAGATTTATTTCGTACCATGACATATAATCTTTTTCCAACACGGATAAAGATAATATGATCATATAGGATAGGAAATGTGTAAGTTATAAATTTATCTCAAGTTTATTAGATCTGGATTTTATGTTGATTATTTTCAGTCACAGTCTACATTTAAAATGAATCGTCTTTTATTTTAGGCATGCTGAAACTCCTACCCAAGATCAAGTACATCTCTTTATGTCAATTTGTGACCGCTACTGGGACAAACACCCTGGAGAACTCATTGGTACGTAAAACAGAGCTGTAAGGGTGTACCAAACCAAAAGTTGGGAAAAGAGAGGCTTAGGTTATCTGGACAATATAGGATAGTTTTAAGAAGGTGTTTTATTGTATGTCTACAGAATGATATAATTATCATATTTCATGAATGACCTTATTTTATTATTTGTTTAATTTAAAGGTGTCCATTGTACTCACGGATTCAACAGGACTGGTTTCCTGATTATATCAYATTTAATAGAAAGACTAGATTGGAGGTAAATTAATGGATATTAAATCAGGGATCAAAATAACAGCTGCTTAATGGCCAGATATGATTATAGGCCACACTGGACTGATCATCATGTGAACAGTCCAGGAGGTCTACCAGTCCATGTGACAAGTCAATGTGACCAATCAATGTGACCAATCAATGTGACCAGTCAGTGACCAGACAATGTGACCAGTCAATGTGACCAGTCAATGTGACCAGTCAATGTGACCAGTCAATGTGACCAGTCAATGTGACCAGTCAATGTGACCAGACAATGTGACCAGTCTATGTGACCAGTCAATGTGACCAGTCAATGTGACCAATCAGCGTGACCAGTCAAGAGGATCAATTGAAGAAGTATCTTGCCAGACAAGTGCCAATAAATTTTGACCAGTCATAGTCCTTTGACCTGTTGTTACTTTGAGCTCAGTAAATGATATTTAAATGTTTTTAGATGATTAATGTAACAGCTGTGAGGTTTTACTTTATGATTCTGAGCTTACGAAATATTTCTTTCAGCCTTGAAGCAGCTGTTGAGTGCTTTAGTAAGGTAAAGTATTCTCATTTTTCCTGAATAAAGTACTTTTCCTAGATGCTTGTATTCTGATGAAGAAATAGAAAAAACTAACCGTTTGCTTAGTGTCCTCTGYATACCTCATTTGGACGTTACTGGTCAAAATTATTTAATTGTTTGCACTCTAAGGTTAGGAGGCCATCACTACAGTATCTTGTAATGCTCCAGTTTTGAGATCACAATTGCTTAGGGTTGGCCTCGATTTTGTGCAGAATAACTATGTGTTCTAGTGAAGGTCCGTGGAATTTCAAAGTGTTTGTATTGTTGAAGTTGTGCATTCTTTACTTTACCAATGGTGTTTGTGAATATTATGTTAAATTGATTTGGGGCTAACCCTGAGTAAATGAGACTGCAATCTAGGAACACAGCAGTAATTTGGGATGTGAAAATGGTCTTTAAAAGCACACTGAGGTTTTTCTATTTTCCCTAACAGAGCAGAGTACCTGGAATCTACAAGCAAGATTACTTAGGTGAGCTGTGTAGACGGTATGGTGATGATTCTGATGTGATTCCTGCCCCTGAGCGGCCTGAATGGTGCAACGAAGAAGAAGAGTTGAGTGACAGAGATGAGGATGAGGATGATCAAGATGATGTGGGAAATAATAGAGATCCTAGAAGGAAACGAAGACGTATAAATGGAAGAAATACCAAGGTACAAAGTTATATTATGAATGAGGGTTATATATTTCTGATAGTAATAAATTAATTGTACATGACAGGTTTCTTATATGGTGCTAGTAGTATGTTTGCTAAGTAAGGATAGTCTGAACCATGTTTTTCAAATTTCTGCTGTGTTTTCATTTGAAGGACTGTAAGTTTGTTGAAGGTGTTAATGGAGTTGAAGCTGTACAGTCGCCAAGATACGAAGAGGTTCAAAAGATTTGTGCACATATGATTGGATGGGAAATGTGAGTACTCCTAAACTATCAATAAAATAAAGTATAATAATTTGAAGTCAGCCAATATTTACTCTTGGTATATCAATGTGCTTGAAGGCGGGGCTTTCCTGGCTCACAGCCTGTATCTATGGATACAAAGAACCTGAAGTTCTTACAAGAGAAGGATTACAGAATCAGTTGGAAAGCTGATGGTACAAGGTAAACAACTTATTCTTATATATAATTATATTAAGTAGAATATAATTTTAAATTTAATATGCAAGTTTTACAGTCAAACTAAGAAAACCATGAACACCTAAAATATGTCTGGAATGTTAAACATTGTGTTCTGAGCAATCGTATGTGACTTTTAATTAGAAATAAATTCATTCTTGCATGCTATTGGTCAGAACACAAAGTTATTTCCAGGCATGTTTTAGGTGTTTACAGTATTCTTCATTTGCACGTTATGTCATCGCGGCCATGTTGGTACCATTTAAGAAAAGATTTCTCATTAGCATCCTTTGTTAACGGTACCACAATGGCTGCCATGTTTTTGTCTTTTAAATCTCTTGTAATGCTTACAACCCATCAATTCTTAGTTTGACTGTAATCAAGATCTATCACACATGTATTCTAATAGTCTTTTTTGTTATTTTCTTCATTTTTGTGGCACTGCTTCGCACAACCAGTACCATTATAAATATATGTTATCGATCCATGTCCGTGAGTAAGTAAACTTTACACAGGAATCCCAATACCACTTTTCGTAGCAGTATCAGATGATCAGATGCCAAGTGAAACGATCAATACCTTCTCGTATCTTCTCAAAACTTTTTTACCAGAAACTGAACATTTTGCAAATATACCAAAACATATTAAAGATTCAAACATGAATTCTGTCATGCTCATACCTACATGTATATCTTGTAAAATCCTATCGCAAAATGACTGAAGCTTGAAATAGGTATACTATTTCTGTATGCTTCCACAGTTTTTATCTTCGTATTATTATATACTATTTCAACTAATATGAAACATAAAATGACATCATATCACATCAAAAACTTCTATAAATGGATATCTTCAACAAATTTCTATGAAACTATAAATTCGATTACTAGCAGTGCCACATGCGCTTTATAAGCGTGATTTGTCATAATTAGTGCTGTAAAGGAACAGAAACACCAGCTGATGTTTTACCTTGTTAATTCTGCATCTTTAGATATATGCTGATGATCCTCAAGAAAGAAGAAATCTACCTCATAGACAGAAACTTTGATGTCTTTGCTGCTCCGCAGTTTAAATTTCCACAAAGAAAGAATCCAAAGGAACATGTCTATGACACACTTATTGATGGGGTAGGACATTGAATACAATGAACTAGTGAAAAGCTTTTAATATTACATTTAAGAAAAAAATCCTTCTTAGGGACCATTCATTTTTTATACGCATGGGTGGGGGGGGGGG